GAATCGATGCGACGGACACTGTCGAGAGACTCTTCCATGTCTCGAAGCGAAGGCTTGCAGAGTGCGGGATGGTTGCATGCCGAAGCAGCATAGGCGTAGGAGCTCAACGGCTCGTCCACCGCAGCTTCCCTGCCTCGCAGGATCGCCTGCATGCCGCGATGGCGGAAGCTTTTCCTTGTTGCAGCCAGGCGTTACGAAATCAGGCCTGCGCATGCTGGAATGAGACATCTGTTCGAGTCGAGTTTTGAAGCAACAGTACAGCGAGCTTCCCACATCAGCCGGTCCATGATCATGTCATGTTCTGTATTCCCGAAACGTGCTGCCCTTGCAGGCTGCACAGACTGCAGGAGGCAGCCGACATCCTGCTGCAGGGTAGGACTTGATTAACTTGGACTGGATGACCGCAAGTGTCACTTGCTGATGAGTGGCAGTCTTGTGCCGATCTCGTGTCCCTGAGTGTCTCTCTAGGTTGTCTTCCCACTTTGTAGTTTGCAGGTACACACTTGTCACGACTAGTGCACACCACTCTATGCAACCACACAAGCATGGTCAAGGCCTGATCCGGTATAATGTTGAAGCAGTGATCGTTTGCCCACAACCGAATAAAACCGAGAATGCTCTTTTCATCTATACCAAAGCCTCTGTCTGGGCTTTGCGTCTTGTGTTGCAAACAGTCTGCCCGACTGGTTCGGGCAGCCATCAACCCCAAATCCGAACTTGGAACGACTGAGCCAACACCTTCACAAGATGTGATCAGCCTTCGAGATGCGGCTTCAGGCCATGTACATCGCCTGCAATGTGGACGACCTGGTCGCTTTGGAGGAAAACCGTTTGCATGAAGCGTTTCCCAAGTCACTCCCTGGTATTCGTCGTACATGACGCAGGAGCTCAAGAAGGAGATCCCCGACCCGCTCTGGTCCTGGCACCTCGTCGTTGCAAGAGTATCTAGAGATCTCCGTTTGACCCATGCGGGCATTGACGGAGTTCGAGATACAAGTACCCCCAAGCCAAAACAGCCCATCTCACGCCGAGTGAGGACTGCAAGAAATATTTCGACACATGCAGATCACTACTGAACTCGTTGGTTCTTCACCGACCGATTATCTTAATGACCAAACTTGGCATGAAGCCTATCGGCCCGTGGCCAAGTGCCCGAGCAGAGAGATCTGCAGACAACTCTGTTTTCAAACATCATGGTCTTCGCAGGAAGAGTTGCCAACCCGGTCGGGGCCTGCCAGGTGGGCTTACGAGTTGGGCCTCTACGATCGTGCCGTGAGGCTCGAACGACAGTGCCGGGTGTGAAGGACGAAGCGCAAAATGTTTCACGTTCAGAGGGTGCTTCGGGCTACTGACTGACAGGTTTGCCACGCGTCTGCGAATGCTAGGGAGAACTCGGGCCCAACAATTGCCAGAATCCTTTGTTTTGGCCCATGTGGCTTTGGAATTTTTCGGCCGGTACTGTGTAGATCGTGTAGAAATTGAAGCTACAGCTGTACCGGTGCAAAGTTTAGCTGATCAGGCTGTTCCCAACAGTCCCCAACCAGATAGTTCCTTGAGAGGCGCTGCCGAGCCGAAATGCCTTTCAGCTCAACCAGCAGTGTTCAGACATTGAGGAATTGAGGCTTAGGCTTGGCGACTTCGGGCTGAATTCCCCCGCTTTAGCAGGGAGCCGCAGGTGCGTCTGGGGTGTAAGTCTGTGCAGCCTTTCTGTGAGGCATTCTCCAACTGCCCATCCGGGGTAACCCAGCTCTTAAGATATGCTGAGTCGGAGTTTTGAATCACATGAAGGATGGCCCGGAGACCCCTCAAGAGGCCCCGAGGCTGATGGTCCGAAACACCCCAACACCTCTCGGACGGCCCCCCCGCCCGGTCAGCCCCCCAAGGCTGAGAACTCTGCCTGTCATCAGTGGAGTGAACTATCCACCGCAGGCTCCCTCACAGTTTGCTTGCGAGTTGCATGTTGATACGAGTCTGTATACCGCAGTGCCTCCAGGAAAGGTCGCCGGTGCAAAGGGCACGCAGGGCTATGTAGTAGTTGTGTTTGAAGTGTAGATACACTCTATGTAGAGCTGCCGTGATGACATGTGCAAAGCAGGCAAGAGTTGCTGCGGCTCTGGCGGAAATGACGGGCGTTCCAGTACAAGGACGCTGGCATGAAATCTAGCGCGTGACACGTTTGCTGCAGGCTACGTACTAGGTTGACTGACTATATTAAAGTTACTCAGAACCCTGACTGAAGACCTGGAGTTGTGTTGGCAGGAGGTCAGTATGTGGAGTCGACAACTCTCAGTGGTCCTCTGTGTCGTGTGTGCGTGCACGACTCCACACACGCACGGATACGCCTGATGACGAGGCACACCTGCGATTGCTTGGAAACAGCACGGGGAGCTCATCATCGAGGCAGGTCTGCAGCGCGACAACACATTCACATGCGCTGGCTTTAGATGCCTGAATTCCATTCTGACGGGCGGGCCGTGAACTTGGCCCCATGTCAAACCCCGAGCTTGCAGGTTAACATGCACGGCTTATAATGCGATTCTTGCGCCCCGATGTTGGGGAGCTGAAGCGCGTCATTGTTTCTGGAGTTAAATCATATCTACCTAGAGGTTCCTATGTAGTTCCTTTTTTTTTGGTTTCGTTTGGGAAACTACTTCTTTTTGGCTCCAGGGTTTTAGGACTTCAAGAATAGGTTTTGGGGTATCCCAAGAATCTTGAATCATATTCTCCAGAAAGTCAAGAATATACAACAGAATGATGTCGAATGATAAGAATGATGAGAATATGATGTTCATGAGCTGATGCTGGTGATGTGCTTGCTGTTCTGCTGTCCAACGGTCGCTCAGCTTTGTTTATCGCTCACCCCGCCACCGAAGTCTGGTTTCGATCAACCACTTCTGCGCCGTGCGCAGCGGCATGGCCGTCTGGTGAGCCGTCCTCGATATCACAGAAGCTCTGCCAACATAATCCTCGGCCATGGCAGTTGAGAACGCCATCGGATTCAAGATACGTTGCTGGCCTGACAGCTGCTTCCTTAGATCCAAACGGACATGATCAAGATAGTGAGCCTTGGGGGTGATATTGAAGAAAACCAGACCGTCGTTGTTGGCATCAAACGCCAGCCGAATGCAGTTGACCAGGAACTTGTCCAAACAGTCCACCGCACGTCGTGCTTCAGGTAGCGTCATGAAGATACGGTCGGCTTTGGAACATGTCCGCATGAAATCGTCGAGGCTTGAGTTGCTTTGAACATGGACAAGATCTATACTTGAGTCAGTTTACATGCACAACATTAGCGACATGGCAAGCAGTACAACAAGCATCTCATGGCATGAGCAAGACACCATGAGCGCAAGCAAACATGTGCTTCATGTAGTTGTTGTGTTCAAAAGGTCGCCCCAGATAGTCCACAAGCCACGATAGCATCAAGTGCGTGTCCGAAGCTTTAAAGCTATTGGCAGGCATGCTGTCCGGGCCCTTCCAGCCCAAATTCTCTCTCGACCAGTGTTTAACCATTGGTGTCATTTTCAAGACGTGCTTGCAAAAGTGCTTGAAATCGCTGTAGGCTTCATCTATCCTGACAGGAATACTTCGCCCGAGAGCCTGGTCTGTGGGAATAAAGTGTTCAAGTAACACAATGGAATGAATGCAAATGATGGTATATCATAATAGGACGATGATATGTGGTGGTGGCGATGAAAATAAGAAAGGTGCCATGCTTTTGAGCCTCGCAGAGGATCAAAACAACACCCCAAGATAATTATAATGATATCTTCTCAAGATGCAACCTCCTTACAATAAGATTCTTAAAGACAACATCATTTATTATCAAGAATGAACCTCAAATCTTCAAGAAGAGGTTTGGGATTTTCAAGAATATCAAGAATTGGTTTCTGTTTCTCAGGAAGAATTTCAGAATTATAAGAATTGCAAGAAGAGGTTTTCTAGATCCCAAGAACAACTTCTTATACCTTAAGAACACCCGAGAACAAGTTATTCAAGTCGGAACCATAAACAAATGGTTTAAACCAAGAGGATCCAGGGAACCACAAAAAGGAACTACATAAGAACCTCTAGGTAGTCTTTAGACTGTACCCCTCCGTCGCGCAGCCTTGCCTGCGAAGCTTGTATGTGACACCCCCACGCACGGAATGTGTCGCTGCAGGTGTCGCTTCAGGCATATGTGCTTAGAGTTGAGACTTCGGCTGTGCCAAATTCGCTTTTTCGCCAGGGGCTCCGGGAAGCCTTCGAAGGACGCCCTGTCAGTTGCATGGTGGGCGCAGTAGTCGCCACATTTGAACCTGCAACTCCTCGATGCAGTGGACCCAATGCACTCCATGCACTCTGGACCGATCTAGTATCACTGGACACAACTCCTGACGATGCAGGACAGACCAAGTTCGACATCGCGAGGCTAAAAGAGGCATCCATTTCAGACTGTTGGCTTCATGAAACAAGGGTTCAGGTTCGGGTGTTCCGGCTTCGGGAACTTGCAGCAGGACGTGTGTCGGTGCGCCACTAGCCTTTTTGCTGAATCGCTTTTGTGACCTGAACTACTCATTTTGTAGGGGGAGGACGTCGACTGGGCTGATGCCCTGGTGCTGCAGCAGGTCGTGTTGACGTTTTGCCTGCCTGGAGTTTACTAGCCACTGCGAGTCTGGAAGAGGCATTGGCAGCACCCATCGGCACATCGCTGAGGAGACTTGGTACTGTGGATTGAAGCTTGAATGTTTGAGGTTCGAAGCGCAAACTCTGTGATGAGTCAGAGTCATTGTGGATACTAAAAGTAGCTAACACAGGATGATGATAGCTTGCTCCTGTTGGATTTCAGTTCGATTGGACTTCTCGGGTGTGTCAGACCCGTCAGGTCCTCCTGACGACTGCTGCATGATGATGAGATGTTGTGTACGGTATGCTGAAGACGGCCGTCCGCCTGCAGCAGCTGCTGCGGCTTCCAGCTGGACCTGCCTGTTCGCGCCCTCCGTCCAAAGCGAAGAGCAAGAATGGCTCGCACCTCGCTGCTGTCCAAGGCAGGTTCATCGTCGGGAAAGTCGAGAGAGCTTACACTTGCGGGACACAGTTCCGATCCATTGGCACGCTTGTTCCACCGACATTCAACAGGCCCTGCTCGTGGTCGGCGTGGTGTCAGTCTTGCAGCCGCCTGGCACGTGGGGAGTCGGGCGTCTGGAGTTGGCCCTTAGTCCCTCTCTCCACATCCTGCTCTAGGGAGCCCATTATTTGCCCAAGATCGTCATAAGTTCTGATGTTATATGTTCAGTGAAGTTCGATGGAGCTTCGGGTGTGCTTGAGGCAGTCTTCCAACAACTTTTGCAAATCCTGGCCGACTCACTTAAGGCTCTTCCGCCGAGAGGATGCCTTCGTAACTCCGAAGCTGAGGGGCGAGGCTGGGGTGCTAGCGGTTTTGTGACATCGTGATACTCCTGGCTGAGCCAAATGCAGAGCCGGTGCGACATGCCGCTTGCGTCAGAGGCTGCGGCAGCCTCAATCTCAAGGAAGACCCATGCCAGACAACAAGATGCAAAGTAATTAAGCGGATCAAGACTTGGTATTGCAGGCCGCAGCAACGATGGCCGCGGCCCTCCTGGCAGCCAGCGTCGCAGCTCCCGGACCAGCCCAGGTCCGTCAGAATCTTGTCTTTTCTGCGGCAAGCACTTCCGGTTCTTGTGCTTTTGGAGATGAGTCGGTGGGGTGGCATGTGCAAGGACGGGGTTCAAATCCAGAACCATCGGTTCAGCTGGTGCAATGCAATATCAATCAATATTGCAACCGTGACGAGCGATGTCCTTGAGGAGCGTGACGTGTGAATACATCAAGCGTACTGCGCTCCCCAGGGCATCTTGCAGACTTCCGGGTTTGCGCACGACTGCCACTTGCAGTTGACGGTCTGCTTCAGTTTACATCAGCAGTTCTTCGTTGGTGGCCCAAACCCAAACCCGTGCTAGCGTCTTTCCGCACCCATACCGAGTCGACGACATGGGAGCCCCGCGCTGAATTTGGCAAAACCCCCACGAAGCCACTAAGCGCGAAACCACGACGACGCCTGATCCAGCCCGATCTAAAAGCATCGGAGGCGGAGAGCCCGAAGCTGTCCTTCTTCGGCCTCGGAGGTTCGGCCAGGGTTATATGGCAAGGCCTTAGGAGCGTCCCGGTGAGTTTGCCATGCCTCTGTCATATCACTGCTACAACGCCATGGAGTGAAGGTAAATATGGGCCTGCGCTGGCAGTATTGGATTCGCAGATTTGCAGGGCAGTTGAGCTGTGGCGAGGTTCATGACCGGGTCCGGACGGTCAGCACGAGATGCTTCTGGTCTCATATTGTCCCCGCGAACTTTAGTAGTTCGAGAATGCCCTGCCGAATGACAGGGCATACTTGTTTCAACATTGGCCACTGATGACATGCCAGCATGCCTCGACTTCGAGCTCACAAACCTTTTTCGCAGACACCCATGGCAGTCTGTTCTGTAGATCAGATCCCTCCAAGTAACTGCATCCTCTGCAGATTTTTGACGGGATCGCTACTAGCAGTTACTAGCAACCAGGGGTTCCCTACTTGAATGTGGATTCATACCACGCCCACGCGGCAGGAAAGCTGCCCGCAACTCACAATTATGTGATGGGCGACACACCTTTCCGTCTACTATTTAAGGCTGTATGCTATTGCCACTGGTGCGATAGACCGGGCACATGGAAGTTCTGTTAGTTCTTGGGTAGAAACAAAAAGGCTTTTCACAGGTCGCACGAATCCGACTGTCAGGCGGCGTCTCCGACGTCTACAACCAGAACGACAACCCGATCAACCCGTACTCGCAGTTCAGCGACTTTGCTCTTTCCATGATTTCTAGGTGATTTCTATGTAGGTAGTTAGCTGGTCGCTGAGCAAGAAGAGCAACCTGCAGAGTTTCTTGAGTTGAGCAACCGTGGGAAACACCGAAACTCTGAAGGGCTTCCTTCCGAATTGCGAAAGCGACATGCCAAGAAGATGCTGGGATGTCCCGGGCTTCGCCAAAGGGATGAACCGTCCCCGGAGCAAAGGCGAGGTCGGAGACGAGTCCGTCTACAAGGCCCGCACCGACCAGGAGGCACCAGCAGACCAGGGGCGCTTCTGGGACCCGGAGTGTTGGGTCAAAGCCCCATGCGAGACATTTTGACTCCGGGAGTGCAACTTGAGACTTGAAAATCACCGAAGTTTTCTCGGAGGTGGCGCGCAGGAAGAAGGCGCTCGCGAACTCCTTCGAGCGCTTCGACAAGACCGCCGTGCCTTAGCGCTGCCTTGGGGCTCTATCGAGTAAACGACGTCACTATAAAGCAAGTCTTCTGCTGTACGTGTTGATATCTGTGTGCGGTGGAATCGCAGCCCTACCCTCGCTACAGGTACAGTATCAAGCCACGGCCCCTGACACGACATTATCCTACCCAACCTTCTCAAGTAATGCCAAAACTACATTGAACCAGGTGTCATGACAATGCCACGACCATTTGCTTGTAACCGGTTCTTCTACGACTCGCGACGTGCCCAACAATCCCCCGAATCAGACTGTAGACTGTAGATGCTGTTGGTTGTCTGCCATTCATATCTTGGCCGCATGATGCAGTATGATTTGTCACAAGGTTATTCAGGTATGACGCATTGTGGCACACCAAGCATGAGGTAGCGCTTGGCAGACTGTACTTCGTCGTGTTAGTTCTATTCTGCCACCTTTTGCCTAGACCTCCGATCAGCGATAGAGCACCTTGACGACAATGACTTCCACGACGACCACCACAACCGCGACGACCACTTTGACCAGGACGATCACGACGACTACCAGGAGACCACCAAAGGGACCAGGAGACCACCAGGAAACAGGCAGGAGACCACGTACCAGTACCACCAGAAGACCGTCAGGAGACCACTGCCATAATGCTTTCCACCAACCCGAGAACATGTGGACCCGATCTCAGTCTTAGGCTGGCCTTCAAAGTCCCCAATCGGAAACTTCCTAGTAGTTTGTAGGAAGTTGCTCCTAGGTACTTCGGAAATCCCGGCAAAGCATCTACACTTTAAGCCAACGAGTTGAATTGAATCAATTGTTGATCCTGGGGGCCACTTCTGGCGAAGCTGAAATCGCTCTGCTAGAGCACCCTCAAGCCTAAACAAGAGTCAATGAGCCAGAAAGACACCATAAGCCGAAAGCCCGAAAACCGCACTGGATCGTGGAGTTGTGAGAGCCCAAAGAATTATTCAACCCGGCCCTACAAGCCACCCCATTTCCTGCAAATCCATCTGGCAGTCCTCGATGTTGCCAGTTTTACATCAAGACGAAGCAGTCGCAGCAGCTGACCTCCAACCTCCAGGAGGCTGCTGGCTTCAAGCAGGACCGGGCTCATCTGGCAAAGCCGGGCTTTCGAGGCTTCGAGAAACTGGGGCGGGATTTCTCATGCGACTTAACATTTTCAGGTTTGTTGCTTAAGGGTAGGATCAGAAGGCAGTTATAATAAGCAGGAGTAGCGGTAGTTGAAGGGTTTGGGGCTTAAGATTCAATGTAGCTGTACACAGCTTTAGAGCACTGCAGGTTGTAACATATTTGTAAACGGTGTTAGGGTATGAAATTCCGCCCGGCTGCAGTGCTTGAGGTCCGGGGTCTGTGAGCACCTTCATCGTACTGCGGTTACTACGGCTCTTGGGCTTGTTGTTTGGAGTTCAATGTAGTTGTAAGTGTTTCACGTATTGCGATTTTAAAGGCATGTGGGCGTCATTGCTGTGGTTTGTACATCTGCCCGTCCGCCCGGTCTCAACCAAGGTCAGTTCCAAGCATATCCGATGCCCCTGAGCTCCGACACCACAAGCTGGCGGTTGACCAGGAAACCTTACCACTATTTGATCGCTGCTGTGTTAATGTAAAAGCCGGACCAGGGTACCGGTCGCACAGGGCGGAAGTTTTCGCGGAGGCAAAGATGTAGAAACAATCACAGGGACTACTACATTACATGCTTCAGGAGCAGAACCAGGCAAACTCCAACTCACATTAACAGTTCGGCAGGACATGGTGTACTTCTCTGGTGCCGAAGGTTCCCCGGCTTACAACAAGGCCCGAGAATTCTCGCAGAAGATCTCCACCGTGGGTGTGGATGGCCGCAACAAGGAGTCTTGGCTCTTGTACGCGGTGGGCGGGGAGACGGGTGTGGTCGGTTTTATCACCCGTGTTTGTACAAACTCTGCCTGCCGCCCGACAGCATGGCTCTCTCATGTACGGTCAGATGAGCACATACACACGCGCACACTTTGATAGATAGACACGTGTACAGTGTACAGCTACAGAAGTACACCGTGTTGAAGATACTTGACAGCGTCGACGTCTTGTGGCTCCAAGGAGTGGGGACGAGCCTCCCAGGACTTTGAGGCCGCAAAGGAGCTGCTGAAGGCCCATGGGTGCAGTTGGAGCCGGGTTTGGCGATGTGAGGGTCGGACATGGCTGTGAAGAGTCTCGGGGTCGGAGGGTCCTCCCGTCGCCGTGTTCTTGCTGAAGCATGGCTGAGATCATGGCATCATTTCAGCCGTGGGGTTTCGCAGCCCAGGAGTGGAAGGAGCTCGTGAAGTTCTGAGCTGGAATGGCCCCGGTGTGTTTTTGAAGCCATATGACATACTGTCCCAGGTAGATCCTCGACGATGAACAAGCGCCCTCAAAGCGGGATCAGCTGTCGAATTGTTTTTGGCGGACGAAGACGCCTGCAGCAACCGCGTGGAGATGTGGGTAGGGATCTGTCCTTCCGCGAAACGAAAAGTGGTACTGTAGGCCGATCCTGAGAGCCGCAATCCTAGAGCACGAAGTCGACCTGCGCAGCATCACCGACCTGATCCCTAATTACCGAAAGCCTTGCAGGTGCCTTGTATTCAGTGCACGGTTCCCGCAACCCATCGCCCTCCAAGTCCTGGATCCCGTAGTAGATTGAGCTTTGCATTGGTTCCGCTTTGTGCGCCTGCGAACCTTGCACACTGCGCTTTTCAAACGTACTTATATCAGTTTACTATACACCTCTGTCACGTGTAAAAATTTCGAGCTTTGGGCTGTTACTCCTTCAGCACCCCTGGTGGCCTCGGAAGGCCTGTGTGGCATGTAGGTCCTGAGAAGCCAAGGCAGTCGCTATAGACGCACATCTCTCGAGAAAACAGATGCCCCACCGCTCCTGCCATCATAGTGGATTTGGCAGGAACGTGGATCCTGGGCGTGACCCCCTGCTGCCGAACGTCTGGCGCCTAGCTGGGAGTCTAGCAGTATCTAGCAGTCATCTACTATTGCAAAGTTTTAATCCACTCGGAGCAGGGTGCCCGTACGGTAATGCACCATCTAGGCTCGATGGCTGCACCAACACCATTATCCAGAGAAGAGGTCCCAAGAGCATGACCGTATGTGGCGCCCACACAATAGCACCCAGAACTTTTGTTGACTGCCTGTGCATCGCGAATTTAGCTTGAAAGTGTAAGTCAACCATCTTCAACGTCCGCTTATACTCTTTAATCCATGGATGTGGATGCGACAAGACAGCAACACGGAATGCCCCGTGTTCTTTCTCAGATAACCATCGGTGTCAACTACGGCCTTTCCACGGGCACATTTCGAGGCCTGGCAATCCAATGGACTATTATCGGTGCACCTACTTCCTGCTACTTCTTGGCTTACCTGTAGATGTGAATTCCAGGGACAGTTCACAACCCCTTGCCGGTGCCAATTATCGGGTGTGCAAAGTGCAAATTGATTCACAGTTCCCACGATCTTGCAGAGACGGTTCGACAAACAGTTCAACGGGAATGCCAGATGCAGTGTTGCTGTAAGGCAGCCTAGCGATGCCAGCAAAGAATGCTTAGACATCGCATAGCCTCCAGGTTTTGGCAGAAGGGTGGGTGACCTAAATGCTTGACTCTGCTTGGCAGGCTGGCGCCCGATCTTCTTTGCAGCGGCCTCGCCACATGCAGAGGCCCTCACTCTGAATTACTGCGCTGTGCGAGTTCTTACGGGTGTAGAAGGTATATTCGTGGAGCAGCATCTGCAGTTCTGTCGAAACTCTTTCAGGAGACGGCAGTTGAAGCTGCTGAACTTTTGGTGGAGGCAGGTGCTGTTCCCTCGGCGATCTCCACCTGCAGCGCGGTCAGGTAAGTAAATAAAGGCAGTTCTTACTCGTACTACCATTGCAGCACATTTTGGAAAAGTGACCGACGTACCGAAGTTTACATTGCATATGAACCAAGCCAAGATTGTCAGTCCCAGCGTTGTGAAAGCCAGGAATTAGGAGAAGAGGGAAAACTGTTTCTACGTGTGTTTAAAGAAGCATTTGTAGAAAAGACTCGGCGAACCTAATTTTGGTGCATATCTTGCAAGGGCTTGGGTAACTAAGACCCTCAGCTTCGGACAAGCTGCACGCTACATACAGCTCTGATGGCTGTGCCTGCAGAAGTCACTTGCAGCCTGGAGCTTGGGCTTTGGCAACGCCGTATTACGCATGCGCAAGAGCTCACACAATCCAACACAGAATGCCAAAGCGCCAACATCCCCTCATTTCCTCGGCATCAGTGCATTTCTCATGGCACTGGCCTTCCCCATCGACCTCTGGGGCGCTTGCGCTGCAGCTTGTGCGGCCAGACAGCTCCAAGGCTGCAGCGGTCGGACTCTGCAGAGCTTGTGCATACCTAAGCCCATCTGCCCGTTAGCCTCTCTGCCGGCCACAGTACTACTACTGGAAGCATGTCAGTGAGGCAGACGCTAGTGGACTGTCATTGCCTTGAGACCTCATGTGGGTCTACTTTGATGTTGTTCGATGCTTTGCGCAAAGCGGCAGGTGGCTTTGTGCTTCAAGAAGCTCCTCAGCACGTTCCTTGACGTGGAGAGGTCCGCTTCTAGAACCGTGGTACGTACTTGCTGAAGACAAGAAGTGTACTGTACCTGTACTTGTTTATCTGCGACGACCCTGGCGGTTGAGTGGCAATTGTATTTCTCACTCTCCACGTAGTCTCTAGTCCCTGGGTGTGGCAGCCAGAAGTATCGGTGAGAACGGGGTTTGTCTGGAAGCTTCCTTTGCCAGTTGGCTTTGCGGGGCCATTCTTCGTGAGAGCACCCATGGCTCAATTCCTTCCCGTTCGTTGACCGTGTAAGGAGTTGAACCGCTATTTTGCGGTCCGGCATTTGGGCGCCACTTGGTGCTTCCAGAGCCCATCCAGAATCGGCGAATCCAAGCATGTGGAGATCCTGACAACCGACAGCCAGGAGGCTTTGCACTTGCATTCCGTGATTCCCAACACTCCCGACGCAGAATTGGAGGAGAGCGACAACTCCTATGACTTCTGCCTCCGGGCCCACCACACCGTGCGTGGTGGGTGCAAGGAGAAGTGCTCCAGAGCGTTCCCGCTCAGACCCTTGAAACCTGTCTGATATTGCATCCTACCTTGGATCCCAGTGGTATGGTACGTATATATGTCTTATTCCTATGAAACCTTTCTCGTAGGCCGGATCAGAATTCATTCCTCACATGTTGTATAGAGCCCGTCGGAGTCTCGATAGATCGCGCAAGTGCACTCAGACCGCCCAGGAAGGAGCTGTTGGATCCCCGGACTTTAACTTTCGGTGGCCAGTGGGTGGAGGCAGAGCTTCCGGATTCCATCTCTGTCACCACTCTCGGTTGGCCGAGAGACTTTTGGGAGCGGCCTTGGGCTGCCTGTGCGGACTCTCGGAGAAACTCCGGGACCCCACAAGGCAGCACTGCAGGTTGATAGACAGGGCGGCTAGCTTGAGGTTTAGAAACCACCCACACGCTTCTGAACTCCGGCGCACCAACTGCCGACGAGCTCCGACTGTTTGCTGCTTGGACTCAAACCCCTCCTTTCGAGCCCTTAAGGACCCTCTTCCGCGCAGCTCCGCTGGCTCTGCTCGCATCCTCCGACGAAGGCGACGTCGGGTCCCGGACGTGTCGCCTGGTCACGGCTTACGCTCCGCTGCAGTGGCTCTACAGTACTCGGGTCCCTGCAGTTGTAGCCGTCTTAGTCTTATAAACTGTAAGGAATTCGACTATGCTCAGCATGCTGTTGTACTCTCGTTCTCTCTTTATGATCCACTTATATTGCTCTCGACCGAGGCTTGTGCACCAGCGGGATGAGAAGACACTTGGACACACATTTAGAAAGCCTGTCCGGCACTTCTTGGCGGCATACCTGACGTCGGCTATGAAGCTTTGTGTGATGCCCTTTGAAGGACCTCGCGAGCAGTTGCTCAAGACTCTCACCTGTCAAGCTCCAGCCCGCCTAGGCCGAGCATGGGATATCACCCATGAGTCCGAAAATCATGAGACTCAGGAATGAGGTGTTTCGGTATCCGAATGCATTGGGCCGCTTCCGAGACTCCGGGCTGGACTACCACGGCGCTGTTTTGCAGCTTGCCTTGAGCAGGACGGAAGGAGAATTGCCAAGACGAGTAGCACAAAGAGTGCAAGCCTCAGGTACGTGCACAATGGTGAAGCCATTGACATCTGGCCTCCGCTCTTTCTCCGCCACTACAGCAACACAAAGGAGTGCCTTGGGAGCAGCGCTTGTGCTGAGCCGTTTGCCATGACAACAACCATGCCTAAGCAGTCGAGGCAATTGCCACCCAAGAATTTCTGGCTCAGAAGAGCTCATGCCAACTCTTGTCGCCACTGCAAGAACTGCCTGGTAGGTGGTGCGTGGAAATGGGCTGGTGTTACAGCGAGGGCTGCTTTGAGTCCGCCGGTCCTGTTGAGCCGTGCAAGTCGGTGCAGGACCCTGCTGCGGCTTCTGAGATGTTCTCTGCAACTGCTGAGCTCCCCCAGCATGATTCATGAGGTGCAAGGCGCAGTCGTCGCACAAGAATTGACCACTGCCGCAGGACGGGTGCCGGCAAGGAGCGGAGGCCTGGGCCGTCCAATAAGTGGCCCAGTTCCAACAAGAGCGTACTCTTTGCAACGCATCTGTTCCGTGCACCCGGCCGGCATGCTAAAAGTGGGACATTTCTGGCATGCGGACCTTTCGTCACGAGACTCTGGTAACTTGAAGGGAGCATGTCATTAGACTGAAATATGGTCCAACTTTTCTCGATATACAGCTCCTCGGCTCCGACAGGTGATGTGTTTACGAGAAGGCCGGTGGCACCTCAAAGACTGGATGCAAACGTATCCGGATCTCGCGCTTGGGGCTGCCTGTCTGTTCTTGGAGTTTCTGTCATACTCGCGCACACATCGTGACACAATAAACGCGCGAACAAACAAACACAAACAAATACAAGCAAGCTAAGCAAGCCCAACCAAGCACACACAAACGAGCACAAAGATACCAAGACTCACAAGCAGCCCCCCC